CTCTCGCTCTCTCTCTCTCTCTCGTGACCTACTGCACGACTGCCAAACCCTTGGCATTGGCACCAAGTTGGCATTTCTGTCCCAGCATCCACAGAGGTGTGTACTGATCCACTGCTCCCAATGGTCACTTTGTTTTTCAGATTCCAGCTTTGACAAGAAAGCGCCATCAGTGGGGAGTCGTGCACCACATCCAACACATTCACGTCTGCCGCACTCGCTGATCTAGGAAGGCTTTTTCTAGCAAGGAGTCAAGACACAAACAGAAACACATCTGGTGTTTGCTGTCCCGCATGTCCCTATCCGTGCTAACCTTTCCTGAAACAGCCCATCAGAAACAGGAGGGAGCAATTTAGTGCATCATCAGGGTGCCTTTCCTTCCGAGTTTTAAGAACAAAGGCATTAAGGTTGGCGGTCTGACAGCAGGTTTATTCCAGCCAGAGGAGAAACACCCTAGCAAGAAATGGGTTCGCTCAACATGCGTGGAGTGCAGAGACTGCACACAACCAAGTTAGCTGAGTAGAAGACTAAAAAGCTACCCTGGCTTATCTGCTGTGCCTGCACAGTGAGCCAGGAAAGAGGGAATGTTCCGAATGCATCTGCTGCCATCGTGGTCTGTGCTGTCACCAAATCTAGCTCTGGCATATTGCCAAGATACCCATTCTCTTTCTCAGACCCACGGTCACTTGCCCTCTTTAAACTTGGCACAAATTTCTCCAGTGTGACCTGTGCTCTTAGGCCAATGCTCCTTTTATTGAAACTGAATCTAGAACATTGATTCTAGAAAACAAGGGGCTACTAATGAAGGTACCCACAAAGAGCGAGTTCATCTGCACTTTTGTATCTTGAGAAACATGTGAAGATCTACACACACACACACACACACGGGAGGGGGAATGCAAAACTATTACAATGTAAAATGAGCTTTTGAAAACTGACGGGAAAAGAGACTTGTGCTGCTGAACACGTAACAGCATAGTTGCACCCATCCACTCATCCAGTGCTGATGAAAGGTGAGTGGGGAGAGGTTTTCCTTGTCCTCCCGCCTACCTGAAACAGCTGATCTATGGAATTTAAACCAGAAGCAAATATGAGCATAGGTCACATTACGCTGACAGTGCAAACAGGAAAGGAAAACCTTGCAGAAAGATGTGGCTTCATCAGCCCTGTCCCTCTGTGCCAAAGGAGATGGTTGTATTTTGCAGGTTAGGAAAGGCTAAGGCTTAAATCATGTAGGTGATTGGAAAAATCACCACCAACCACCACCTTTATCATCTTAGAGTTGCAGAGCTGGAAGGCACCCTACGGATCATTGAGTCTAGCCCTTATCAAGAAGGCACAACGAGGAATTAAACTCCCAACCTCTGGTTCCAGAGATCTAAACCACTGAGCTATCCAACCATGTCTTGAAAGAAAATGGGAGGACAATAAGGGGAGGCACTAGAAAAGTAAACAATGTACTTGAAGTCCCCAGATTCCAAAGCAAGCCCATGATATTGGATTGGTTGGGGGGTAGGCAAGCACAAATGCACCCCAATTTTTGCCATGTGGAAAAACCTAGAAGGGTGAAAAATGAGTTTAGCTAGCCTGTCAGTTCCAATTTATCATATATGCCTTTCCCAGGTATCAACACCAGATGGCAAACAGATAGAAGTGGAAACCTTCATTTTTCTGAACCTTGTGATGTATTTGGGAGTGTCGGGGAGAAGACTACATTTGGAAAAGAAAGGAGAAAATGTCTATATTTGAAAAGTGTACACAAATCTATATATACCTGGTGGTGATATGCACAAGATGATTTCTGTGGGAAAGAAATACTATATGCATATAGCTGAAATATTATTCATAGACTTGTGAAAAAAGGGTATCAATTTTGTGTGGACTAGAAAAAGTTGTAACCTAATGAAAAAACCAGGACAGATGCCACTCAACAGTGGAAAACCAGAAACCAGAAAGCTGAGTTTAACAGATTCATCAGCCCACAGTGATGCAATGTACAGTATGGGATCCGACTAAGGAAGCTATACCTTCACTACCTCATAGACGAAGTGACAGGGGAAAGCAACCAAGCAAATTCCCTATAGTAATGATACCATCTTTGTAAGCAAGCACAGGAGAAACAGTGTGATGTAGTGATGGAATGTGGGACTACAACCCAGGAGACCCAGGTTCAAATCCAGGTTCGGCCAGGGAAACTCAGAGGGATGGCCAGTACTGGTAAATCTACTTTTTAAATATCTCCCATGCCTTGAAAATTCCATTAGGTCACCATAAGATGGATGTGAGTTACTGCACCTAAAAAAAACTTGTACGCACAACATTTTCTAACAGAAAACCACTCAAAGCCACGCAATGCACACACAAACACAGAGACAGAAATCCAGCATAGTGATGGGTTGGTTTAGATCGGTGTGCACTTCCACATCGAACTACAAAGGAAACTTAAGTATATTTTAAAATTAAACAACATTATCTTCAGGGAAAAAGGCACGCAGCCATTTGCAGGTGAATAGCATATTATGATTAGCGTCTCTCTCTCCATCTGTCTCACCCCCTTCTCCTTTCCAGCTCCTTTTTCACTTGGCTCCTCTGGGCTAAGAGTGCATCTTTCCTTTTACATTTTTGTTTTTATTTTAAAACTGGTCAGGATGTTTTAGCATCGCCTAGAGCGACTAACTCTTTCTAATCCCTTGCGATCTCATCAGCCTTCCCTCTAATAAAACATGTAGGTTCTCATTTGAGCTAATAAAGTAAAACCCACACATGGACATACAGACCCACATCGAAATAAGAGGAAATAAAGACGTCAGGCACAAGATTGATTGGGCGTTTGTCTTCTTCCTAATTCCATTATTGCTCTGAAATGAAGTCTACCTCTCACCATGCCTTCATTAGCCACTGCTCCGAGGTTCCCTCCGAACCCCAGAGATGGGATGGTAATGAAGAATCCTCCAGAAAACAAGTTACTTCTTCACCACCTCAGCCATGGTGAGGCAGATGAGAGGGAGGATGAGGCAAAATCAAGCCGTGCTAATATTTGTCTTTTCCTCAAAGTCTGTGCAAAGGCAAACATTTCTACTCAGTTGAGCCAAGTGTGTGTGTGTGTGGGGGGGGAGAGAGAGCACAAGCAGGCCACATACATCCTTCGAAAAAGGTACTTCCAAATCAACCCATTTAGGCCTCATAAAATGTTTATCCTATTTCCCCACTAGCGGTCCAATAACCCTATAAACCTTAGAAATGTGGATAATATCCAAGCTGAATATTTCAGAGCCAAGGCTCAGAGCAGGGAATACAAAGCCTCCACAGATGTTGCCAAATTGTAGCCCCCATTAGCTGCCAGCCAGCACAGCCAACGGTGAAGGAGCATGGACTGTACCCTCCAACATGAGGAGGGCTGCCCTTCACCAGCTTCTTCCTTAGAATATGGTCACAGCACCAGGTTGGACATTGGTGTTTCGGGCACGTGAATCACAGCTCCAAACTGCCTTGCTTCCTAGCCATCACCACCACTATTTCCCCACCACCACCACCACCTTTTGTATACCCTACAGATGACACTGTTTCCTGCCAGCATCCAATGCTGTTTCTACATCTCTTTGAAAGGAACTGTGATTGGATTCTTTTGGTTGTTCCTCACTTTTGGCAGGAAATTATGATAGAGACTTGTCAGTTGAATTTGCAACTTCATTTGTATTAACCTCTGGCTTTTAAAGAATGATTTCTATCAGATCAAAGCAGGATAAATCAGGCAAGGGGCCATAACTAGAAGAAACTAACTTATGACAAAAGTCCAGATAACTCATTGGGGTGCTGGGTCAAATCGCTCCCGACCGTTGGGACTCCTCAGGGGAGCATTCCTCACCACACAAATAGTTCCGCAATATGGGTGTCTCGCCCTGTCTCCTTCTTTTGGTAGTTCACAATAGCTGGGATCTGGTCATATCACCCTCTTCCCTCTTCCTTGCCTGCACGGAAAAGCAATCACCGTCCACTCTTGTGTTTCATATACAGTTTCTCCTTCCTTCCTTGATTCAGGGTTGGGTAGCAGTCCTCCAACCTTAAGGTTTGGGAAGTCTTAAGAGTCCACATGCCTTTTCATAATCAGTTTTAGATCTATCTCCTTCTTTTCCCCTCGAGCCCTCTTTTTCAAATCCCCCCCCCCATTTGTACTCTCTTCCCAAACTGACATCTTTTTCTCCTCCCCTTTTCCTTTCTCTCCCTCTTCCACCAAACAGACTTCAACCTTTCCCTTTATCTCCTCTATTTTCCCCGCTTCTTCTGTTAGGACTTCCCTTTCCTCAGATGCCTCCATGTCACAACTCCCCTCTTTCTTTCTGAGTGCCTCTCTCGTTGAGGACGGCTCACTTTCTTTCAGTTCTCCTTCACAGAAACATACCGCAGTTCCAAGCTGGACTTTTCAGATCCCACCAAGAGTGCCTGGATAGTGATTTGAGCCGACCAGCATGTGCCGCTTGACAACCCTGTGACTAGCTCAGCCTGTTATGGCAAGACAGGTGGAAGCTAAAACAGGAAGGATGGGGGGGGGCAAGCTGAAAAACACAGCTGCAGAGGGTGAGAATGCAAAATTCTAGTTTTCCTGAAAATGGAAAGTGATTATTCCATTGGGACAAAGGCCAAAAAAAATGGAGCTGTCCCAAGAAATTCTACTGCCTGGGGAAAAGGACAAGGCGGTGCCTCTCCATACTTCATATACTGAAGTTGGTTGGATTGGTAGCTACATTTTATTTCAATAGTGCACTTCATCACACTTGAAAGTGACAAGCTAGCTTAGGAGAAGGTGCCCTCTGCTCTCCAACATGTCGCCACCACTTTCTGCCCCTCAGTATCTCTCATTTGAAACAGCTGCCTCTAACTTTAGGGATGGCACAGCAAAAACAATTGTATATGAGAGATGCAGTGAAATGTGCAGAAGCCTTATCAAAATATATCCACAGTGATGGCTTATTTATTTTTATGTAAACTTACTGTTAGGATACTTTCCAGATGATAAATTTCCCTGAAGGGCCTTAATGAACCCCCCAGAGGAAGCCATTTCACTGCTTTAACAGTGAAATGCTGTCATCAAAGCAGGGCTTTCAGCCAGAAACTTAAGGACCACTCAGTGGAATAAGAAAGATGGCTGCCTTACACCCATTTTAAAGTAAATGAGGTACCATTTCAAGAGCTCCCCACTGATAAGACAATTACGTTAGCAGCATAAGAGGAAATCCATGTTCCTCGTTGTTTTCAAAAACTAAGCCTTTCTCCATGAGTGTAAGCATCTTTTCAGGGGTTACTATTGAGTTAATTCCATTAAGTGTCATGTTTTGGAGTTATTTGAGCACAAAGAATGTATATGAAGAGACACTCATTCCCTCCTTGCTTCAATCTACATCAGTCAAGACAAGGAGTCAAAAACAGATGCTTCATGTGGCAAAATACAAGCCAGAATGCAGGCCTGCTGGCATCCAAAAGGCTGTGCAGAAATCTATCTGTGATTATCCAGCTCTGTGGAACATGAATACTTGCACAATCAATTCCCTTCCTCCTATTACTTAGGCAGGGTCAATGTTTTGTTGTAATTGCCCATGGCTAAATGCAATAAAAGTGACGTAACTTGCAGAATAAATTGGCAGTCATCTTCAAAATAGCCTAAAGTCTTCCTGCTTCAGTTCTCCTGTTGGATGCCCACAAATTGGCACCACCTAAATCTAGAGCCAGAGTATATTCACACTGGTGCCCTGGAGGAGCTTTGGACTACGACTCCCATAATTCCTGACTAGTGGTCCTGCTGTCTAACATGGGGGGAGTGAGTTGTAATTCAAACACCTATGGGGTACCAGGTTCTCTCTCCTGGATTTGGCATATTGTTTAATTGAATACCTGTGCTTAATAGAAGCTACAGATGTTCACTTCAGTT